TAGTCCATGGCTGAGTAATGCGAGTAATCCGGACGCTGTCTAGAATAGTCGGAACATCGTAGAACGTACCAGAATCATGTGGAGGGATGGCAGGATGCCAAGTAAGTACAGAACAAAAGAATGTACGTATATGGTAAGTAGGAAAGTCCATGCTGGCGTATGGTAGACGCACAGCCACTATCACTGCCACTCCCGGTCCGGCACAGCCGTAGACACAGAAGTTCAACACGACCGTCCGGCTTTCTACTTTGCTTCTGCCACACAGCGCCCCGCTTCTCACCGCCGTTTGCCTTCGGCGGGAACTAGCGGCCTCGTCTGAGTCTCCGGCCAATTCTCTCGGGCGCCGAGCTCCAGCATTGAAGCTGATAAGTCGCCGGAAGATGGCAAGACGCTTCGGGGACGTCGGAATACCCGATAGGATTGCCGCGGTACCGCGGTTGCAGCCCTTCCATCCGAACCCACCGCTCACGTTGCGAGTGCGTTTGTGGGCGATTATTCAAATGACGGGACGGCGCGCCTCCGTTGAGGCAGTCCAGCTGCTGGAGAATTTTCATCGGGCGCACAGAAAGGCATGTCCGTACCTCCCTACTCCCGATGGGTGCAGCACGTCACTCACCTACAGTGTGATTGCGTTCATCTGATAGCTTCGCCCACCACGCGAACCCCTGGCTTAGCGATGCAGACCGGTCCCATGAGCTCCTCAAATCTCCGCATAAAGGATGACGGAACCCCTTCGCGCTGAGAGCACCCGCGCCGACTGCGTAAAGATACCCCTCCGAGGCTTGATACCCGATGTGCCGTCCTCCGCGGCGCGCTGGAGCGGACTTTGAGCAGTCTGGAAGCCAGGAGGTCCGCCGCACCAGGCGGTGGTCGCCGGTATAAGAATGGCCGGAACCTCCAAACGATCCGCTAGAACAATGGCCTCTACCATCTTCGAAGTCGAACCGTCGCTCCCTCACGTACTCTGTGCCGTGGTGGGATCCGCGTTGGTCAGTACATCCTCCTTGTCCCCCACCCATGCGAATGCCGTCTCATCTATTTTTTCCAGGCGGCACACTGGATTTTCAAGCGATTCGAACCGCAACATGCAGCTGCCCACGCTGTCCTAATCTTGGGCGTGCCCGCTCTCTTAAGCGTACTTCTCTTACTCCACCTCTCGGGCATCAAAGCGCTTTTGGTATCGTTCTCGATGTATTGGTGCACACTGGCAGGTTCCGTCGCCCTGTACCGCCTCTCCCCGTGGCACCCCCTCGCACGCTACCCCGGACCTGTCGCGCTCAAGCTGACCAAACTATCCCTGGCGTGGATTTCCCGCGGCGGCAAGCGGCACATATACACGCAGCAGCTGCACCGACGCTACGGCGACGTCGTCAGAGTTGGTGAGCTCTATCACCACCGGTGCGCCACCGCGCACGACGCTGACCGGCAGGCAGGCCCGAACGAGCTCTCCATAAGCAATGCTGCGGCCATACACCCTCTGATGGGAACGGCTGGCCTGCACAAGGGTCCTCGTGAGTGTGCTTCTCCGCCACAGCGCGCGCCCGCGCGCCGCCCTTGCGGGATGCTGATTCCTGAGGCGGTGCAGAGTGGGGAGCCCGGGCTGCCACCCAGGCCGTACCGCCCCTTATCGCGCTCGGGGACCCGAAGGAGCACTTGCGTCGCCGCAAGCCGTGGAATCGGGCCTTCAGCGTGGCCAGCCTGAAGGACTTCGAGCCGATGGTCGCGCGGCGCACACAGCAGCTCGTCGATCTGCTCTCCTCCAAGAAAGGAGAGGTGAACATGTCCAAATGGTTCAGCTGGTTTACGTATGTATTTGTGCACAATTCAGTCGCGCGGAGACAAGGTGCTCACGGGGTGTCCGCGACAGGTATGACCTCATGAGCGATATGGCGTGAGTGACGTCCTCCGCAGGTCTGCTATGAGTGTGCTGACCGTTTGTGGCGTCCTGCAGGTTTGGCGGGGGATCAGAGATGATGCGGAACGGCGACGAGGGAAGCGTGTGGCCTCTGCTGGAGGATGGATTGGTGTAAGTGGCGCCGCTCTATTTACCTCGGCTACTCGGGAGCTGACCGCTGGACGAACAGCAACTCCGACACATTCGGCCACCTCCCTTGGACCGCCGACTACGTCCGAAAGCTCCCCAGCCTCGGGTCGAAGATGAAGGAAATGCGGACGTTCTGCATCCGCCGGACGGCGGAGCGCGTCAAGCTGGGAAATAACAGTACTAAAGACCTCTTCTATTACCTGGTAAGCAGCGACTTCGATCAGCCCGTCCCCGATCGATGCCTCACTCCGCTATAGAATAACGAAGATGGCGCAGAAGCGACGCCCCCGCTTTCCCAGGTCGTCGCGGATGGTGCCCTGGCCGTCGTGGCCGGATCAGACACGACCTCGAGCGTCATCTCAAACCTCATCTTCTTCGTGCTTACCCATCCCGAGGTATATGCTCGTCTCAGGACGGAAGTGGATTTCTATTATCCTCCGGGCGAGAACGCTCTAAACACGACGCACCATGCCGATATGCCGTATCTCAATGCCGTCATGTACGTCCGTCTCCTGGGATTTTCATCGAGGACGTCTTCTCATGAGTTTCTAGCAACGAGACCATGCGCCTGTACCCGCCAGTGAGCGATGGCAGCCAACGGCTCGTCCCTATTGGAAGCGGCGGGAAGGTTGTCGGAACGAGGTCAGTAGTGTCGCACGTTGCGCTCTCCGCGTCGTGGCAGCCGAATAACGCGCACCGTTGATCCCAGCTACATCCCCGAGGGCACTATCACGACGGTGCACATGTACAGCATCCAACGGGACCCGCGCAACTTCTCGCCCTTACCCGACAGCTTCTGGCCGGAGCGGTGGATTCTCGCGGGCTCGGGAGACGCGCGCAGCGCGAAGATCGTCCACAACCCCGCCGCGTTCTTCCCGTTCTCCTTTGGGCCCAGTAACTGCGCGGGGAAGGGGCTCGCGCTGCAGGAGATGCGCATGGTCGTGACCCTCATGATGCAGAAGCTGGATCTGCGGTTAGCGGATGGCTTTGATGCGGCTTCGTACGAGAGTCTTCTCTTGGACTACCTCATTCTTTCCCGGCCCCCTCTACCGGTGGTCGTCAAACCCCGGGGGCTGTAGAATGGGCCTGTATGTGTTGGATTATCGCGGCGCTACGACTCCCCTGGATTTCCCACATAGTAACTTAGCTATTTTGTTTACCACTTGCGATTCAACGGTACCTATAATATAGCCAGCGTAATGTAAATCACTATGTCCGGATGAAGCTTGAAATACCCATGTCATTGTGGCTGCGACCAGGATTCCAGACAATCCTCCTGGATGCCGTGCACGGCAGGCCACGAAATCCCGCGCTCTGGTGTCTGGTTTGTCGTCAAGATGATCCTAGCACTCGCGGCGGAAGCGGCTGATCAGCGCTCAGCTGCTATAGGCCAAGGGCGAGCGGGACGGGGCGCATGCAATTCAGACATATGAGGATTTTCATCGACGAGTGCAATGCGCAGCAGCGCGAGACAAGCGGAACGAAGCACGCAGCAGTCGCTCAGAGAGTCAGGATGCGTACGGAAGCAATAGTGCTGGGTGCTACTGGCGTTGAGAAAACAAAGAGAGCTGTGAACGAGCTCGAGGTGGTAGCACGGTAATAGGACGAGAATATGTAAGTACCAGTACTAAAGTACTAATGGCGCGCGAAGAGTGGCACTTACCATCCGTACCCGTGTCCATGTCTTCATAACGGCCTGTGCGTCTGAAAGGCCCTACTAGTGATATTCTTCGACATTAGACTTCGTAGGCGTAGTAGCGTACAATGGATTGAGGCCAAGGAGCGGATTGAACCAAGGAGCAGACCAAGGGTCGATCAGGGTCGAGCGCCTCGGAACAGCGCGTCGGGACGCGTCGAGTCACGTGGGGTGATTACTGCATTGGGGCTGTTGAGCGCAACGGTGCGGCGTATGTCCGAGTGCGTCGCTGCTGGGGGGGATATCGAGTCCTCTCGCGGTCGCTGCCAACGTCGAGCCCGAATCGCCCATCTACCCTCGTTGTTATACTGGTTGCACAATGTCCAAGAGGGAGGCTCTCAGCATCGGGGGCGCTGGCGTCGATATCGAAGCCCCGCGCGCCAAACGTCGGAAGGAGGCCCCGGCCACAACTAGCACCAGCACGAACGGAAAGGCAGCAGCCGCCGACGCCCAGGTGCAGGGGAACAATGAGGGCGGAAGCAAGCAGGCTGAGGATAGGGACGAGGTCATGCGCAAGGGGATGTTGTTGTGGACTGCGATGAAGGACGCCGTTTCCGAGTGCGTGACATCCCTACCTGTGTCCTCCGATTGACCTCATTCTCGCGCCTACCGCTTGTTCTGCAACCACCACCATGTCCCGCTCACACAACACCATCGCTACAGAGGCGTACACATCTCTCAGGCCTTTATGCGTCTCCCCTCGAAACGCCAATATCCGGAATACTACCACATCATTAAGCATCCAGTAGCTCTCGATGACATCAAGTCAAAGCTTGAAAAGAAAGAATACGCTTCTATGGTAGACGTGAAGGCAGACTTTGAGAGATGTTTTCGCAACGCGAAGCGGTTCAACATGAAGTCAAGTCAAATATGGGCAGACGCGAGGTATCTCCACGTAAGTCGCGTTTGTACCATCGTAAGCCGACCGCCTCTCACGTCTACCCTTTGTCTAGAAATACTTGGAAAAACAGTATGCTCGAGTCACAGGGATCAAAGTGGACTCGTCCGATGGCGAGAAAGAAGATGTTAGCGAGAAGAAGGCTCTACATCGCTCTTTGAAAGCTACGCTCCAGACGATCGTCGACATGACATCCGACAGGTACGTGCTTTAGTCGGATTCCGCAAACCCGTACCAACTCCTTTTACATGCAGTGGCCGAGTTCTCTCCACCGAGTTCATGCAGCTTCCAAGCCCTGCGGATTGGCCTGATTACTACAAGCTAATCAAGAAGCCTCTGTCGCTGGACAAGATATTCGTGAGTTCTTTCACAGTCAAGTTTGCATTGCTCATTGATGTCGTTGCTCCCAGAAAAAGATAAAGCGCAGAGCATATGAGAATTCAATGGAGTTTGCGGACGACGTGGAGCTTGTCTTCCAGAATGCGCTACAGTTTAACGCGGATGGATCGCCGATATATGACGACGCACGCACTTTGAGGGTATGTTCTGCACGCCTCCGACCATCGCTGTTTTACACGAAATTCAAAACACATACTCACAGGACGCCTTCCGGAAGCTAATGGCGGACCTTCCTGAGCAATTTGCGGCACCAGCATACGTGAACGCTGGCGATCACCCAACGAAGATCAAGTTGAAGATGCCTAGTGCGCCCACACAGCCCGTCGAGGCGCCAGCCCCTGCCTTACCCTCTAGTAACACAATCACTGTATCTCGCGGGCGGGCCCATGGACGACAACGAAACACCAAAGAGGCGACGAACGCGTCCCCTTCTGGCCCATCCCATCTTCCCCTCGTTTCCGACAGGGCCGCTGCAGTCACTCCCGCTTTGCCTATGATGCCAGGCCCTAAACTTGCGCCCGCGCAAGCGTCTTCCTCAGGCGCCGTGGTTCCTTCCCCTTCCAAGCCGTCGACAGCCGCACAAGCAAGGGCCATACCGCGCGGAGGCACTGCCCAAGGTCTCAGCTCGACATACTACCCCAACGCTGTATACCAGCAACCTATCGCTCCCCGGCCCATTTCGGTGTCATCGTCATCTGCTCCCCAGGCCATCTCGGTGGCATCGTCATCTGGTTCTGCCCAGGCCATCTCGGTGTCGTCGAAATCACCGAGTCCCTTTCCCATACCAATTTCTCCCCCTCCCGGCGCACGTTTTGTCCTGCGCCCGGCGTCGGTGTCGGTGCCCGCGGCGCAATATGTGCACACCCTGCGGCATGCGATCATCACCACGATGCCTCTCCGCCGCCGGCTCGTTCTGCACCACGAGGATGGCACGCGGACGTGGACGATGCGGCTGAACGGGAGCGAGACCGGGATCGTCCTGTCCAACGTCACGCTCCTCTACCTGCTCGAGGACGGCAGCAGCGGGGACGACGAGCAGGACGGCGAGGAGGGCACGTCGCTCGCGAAGGGCAAGAAGCGCGGCCGGCCGGCGCGGAAGCGCGGCAAGGCGTCCGAGGCTGCGAAGAAGGCCAAGGGGAAGGAACCAGAGTCCAGCGAGGGCGGGATGCAGGCCAAGCTGAACGGCGCGGTGGTGGCGGGCAAGGAGAGCGGCGAGTGGGAGGTGCCGCTTCCTGTGGGTATCAGCGTGCTCGAGCTCGGCGAGAAGGGCGGGATGATGTGGAAGGTGTACTTGGATCGGGCGGCATGCTGATGATGGCCGTATATTTTATGCCTATACCTCTCCTCTCGGTGTGTACTCTCTCCTCTGTGTTTTTGTCTCGCTCTGTACTGTAGGGTCGGATGTATGGTTGTGTATGGATATCGTTATGTATGCCTTAGCTTTCCAAACTACTACAAGAACTTTTTGTATGGCTACCGCGGTCAAAGGTCCCTCAGTCGATGTCTTTGGAGTCATGCCAGTATATTAGTATTACGCTACAAGGTGCCGAAGACATTAGTCCAAAACAGACAATTAGGTAAGGTCAATAACATCCTGCTCATCGTACACCATCTTCCTGCGTTTCCTCTGTGCGTGCTCCGCATCGTCTACTCGTTTCGAGCTCGGTGCAGCAGCCGACGACACTGAGGGAGTGTGTGTTGCCGCTACGCCCGTCGGGACAGCATTTGGCATACTTGCGGGCCCGGGGTGGCCGAATGTAGCGGTGGCTCCAATCGTCGCTGCAGCCGGGGTGGCCCCGGTTGTGCGGGATGCACCTTGGGGGGCAGGCTGCGTCGCGGACGCTGTGGAACTACCGCTTGCAACAGGCGCAGTCGCCGCCGCATTCGCGACGTTTGCCCCCAAGCCCATGGACCGCCCTTCCAACCCAGCGACGATCCGTGCGTAGTCAGGCCCCAGGACAGCCTTGAGCTCGTGCTCCTTCGCGCTGATGCTCCGCAACAACTTCTTGCCCTGCGCCTGGCCGTGGGCCCACTTGGCAGGTCCCACTATCGCCTTCGTCTTCGTGACCTTGGGCGCGCGCTATGGTGAGTCCATGCCCAGAGCCTTGCAAGATTAGAACATACCGTGATGCCTTGCGGCGTGCTTCTGATCGTCGCAAAGGTCGCGATCTGCCTCGCATGCTTGGACAGGAACGCCTCCAAGTGGCGTCTCTTCGGGGCGCCGATTCGCGTCCAGCTATTGCTCTCCTCGGGCTTTGCGGTCAGGAAGGTGCGCACCGGGGGGCACACGTCGCAGTTGCACGTCCACCCCTTCAGGCCTCCCAGAAGGGACGTCGTCGAATTCGGAGGACGCGGGCCCATCACCTTCTGCACCCAGTACAGCATGATCTTGCGGGCCGCCATCGCGAAGGCCTCCGAGGTGAGCGGTTGGTTGTACTTGACGAGCAACGCACGCATGTCCGGCAACAGAGGCGCGAGCTGGGTCTCGATGTACTTGACGTCGAGTTTGGCCGGATTCAGCAGCCGCCCGATCACGAACTTGCACGCGTCGGGGAGCTGCAGTGAGAGACAGAACTCGAGCGCGGCGAGGGCTGGCTTCTGGGCGGGGGCAGCGGGGACGGCAGCTCTGTAGTAGGAATGCGACGCGTACGCCGGTGGGGCGATGTAGGTGAGGTCGATGTCGTTGACGTATTTCTGCAGGAGGCGGAGGAGGAGGGGGTTCAGAGTAATCCCCGAGGGGTCTATCTGAGCGCTCTTCGCTCCCAGCTCTTTGATTATAGCGTGGAGGATCGTAGTCTGCACCTGCAAGCCCTCGAACTTAGCTACAACCCTAGTGGATAGAGGTCAACGTCAGGGCGGATCGCAGAAAAAAACCCACTGGCAAGGCTACTCACTGAGCAAGCGACTCTTCCGGTTTGTCGCTGGCGACTACCGCTTGGATGAGCGATGGGACATCGTCGAGGACGAGACGCCGAGGATCAGCGAGCACAGTTTGCAGGTGTAGCAAGCTTGCAGTGGTAGAAAGCTTGCGTAAGGCGGGGGGCGGATTGCCTCCAGGGAGAGTGCGCAGTATCTCCTGCCCGTATGCGACAAGAGGGAGGAGGATGCCCTTGACACGACGAATAACGACATCACCCACCAGACCTGAGAGAGCAAGAAGCTTGTCAACGGCAGTAGCGAAGAGATCGTCGGTGCCTAGCTCAAGGAACGCCTTGAAATATGGTTTCGCGCGCTCTAGTTGCCCCGGCTCTTCGACAGGCTTGGAGTACGCGTAGGAGTAATGCTGGTGCGCGGCGTTCGATACCGGCGCTGTGGCATAGAAGTCGACCTTAGCTAGAGCGGTCGCCAAGAGGTCTCGCGCTAAGCGAGCGCGCGTTTCGGTGGCGATCCCTTCTTCGCCCTTAAGAGACATCGCATACTCCAGCAAGGCGGCGCTGCCCGTAGTGGGCTTGATCAGAGGGAGAACCCTGTTCGTCAGGTTAGGATATGACTGTACAGTACGGCAAAGTAGCGTGGTCCTCACTTGTTCTCCAAGAAGTCGACTCCACCACCGTACTTGAGTGCAAGTGCGGTGAGCGACTTGTGCTCGTCCTTCCCTAGAGGTTTCAGCGCGTTGAACCGCTTCGTGCGTTGTGCTGATACCCAGTCCTTCGTAGCGTCATTGACCAGTTCTGGATGCTGGGAGGCAATCCACGTTTCGAACTTTTCCAAAAACTGGAGGGTGCTGACGTTGGACGGGTCTCGCTCAAGCGCATGTTCGATACTGGAGGCAAGTACATAAATGGGTGTCTGATCGTTTCAGGAGCGAGACGCTCACCAAGGCTTCACCTCTGCAAAGCCGAAGGCATCAACAGCAAGGTAGATGTGTTTCTCTCCGAGCGCGGAGATCGACCGTTCGGCGTCGCAGGCTTTGATCGCACGGAACCAAAGCGAGAGGTCCTTCCATCTCAATGCGGCGCGACATACGCTCTCCACGATTGCCCCGCTTTTGGTGGCGTTCGCCCGGACCAAGATGATCTCTGTGAGCTCCGTCTCCTCGGTTGTCGGCTGGGAGCTCTTCGAATCGCGTATCCTCTGGCACGCATATGTGAAACCCTCCGAGCCGTGAATGAGGTCGAAGTGCGCCCATGCGGGCCACATAACCAGAACAGTTCGGCGATAGACTATCAAAAGGTGAGCGCTATTAGCTACACTATGCAGGCGCATGCAGCAAATATACTTACAGCGTTCCAATGTGCCGCCATACTACACGAATATCACAAAGTTCAGTTTATATTCACCAGATGGAGGCTGATAGACCTACGTTTCCCTGATAGCCTTCGTATTCCTGGTCGTCATATTCCCCTGCGGTGATCTCGTCGACGAGTTCCTCAGGGATGACCTCGGTTTCGAGATCATAGTCGACCGCTTGCCGAATAAGCTTACCATCCATGTCGACCAGATTCTCGACTTCCACGTTCGTTTCGTCGACCTCACACATCGAGACGTCGTCATCATCCGGATCCTCACTGTCCTCGTCGTAATAGCATCGGCCCCAGCCGTCGCGCTCACGTCCCCCATAGTCGTTCGCGCCTCCCCTCTGAGTGCAAGTCAAATTTGCGAGGCCAAGATGGATGCCATGCTGTGTGCCAATGGTGTCCAGGATAGCGACCAAATGGGCGTCCACCCCCTTGAGCGCGCTGCCTCGGAGCGCGGCTTGGGAATACTTATGGCTGAGGAGATAGATAATCTTTCGCGGGGCATCGCCGCCGCCTTCAGCCTGCTTCCACGAACGCAAGACGTGCTGAAGGCGAGAAGGCAAGGTACTGACACTGAGCGTCGGGCGCAGAGCGTTCGTGGTGTGTACGAGGTTGAAGGAGAGTGCGAGACGGTACCCGCCCGTAACCGCCTTGACCTCGTGTTCCACGTCGGTATACCAGGCAAGGACGGAGGTGTTGGTTAGGCTTCCCTCGCTGGAGTCGTATGTTTGATCGAGATCGCCGTGCCGGACGTGCACAGCGCCGCCTGTGAATCTCGACGGAAGGATGACGACAATGGTGGCGAACATGCCGTTCACCTTCTCTGTGCTGGTCATAGTGAGGATGCGTCTTCCTGTATGATCTGTGAGTGTACATACTCGACGTGCGGCAAGAAACTGAACGGCAAGATATTAGTTGTGCCCTGAACTCTGGGAATACCACTTACTGAGAGCCCGTTTCATATAGGAGGAGTTTGTATAGCTCACATCGTGGCTTACTAGCTTCAAAGTTGACGCCGAGGACTTGGCAAACATCCCGGACCGCCTGGTCCATGAAAGGTACCCACGCGCCATTTTCAAAGTGCACCTAGAGCAGCGTTCAAACGTCATTCTATACGAAATATTGACTGACGCTACCTTCGTTGCGTCGATCTCCCAGGTGTCCCGGACGGTTTTGTCGACAATCGTTTGGTCCACCTTACCGAAAGGGGCCTGTTCAGAACGAGCCTTGATGGCAGCAGCATCCCGGGTGCTGAGAGGAAGGCCGATAGTCCCAAGGCCGTCGATGTTGAGCGCTGGGTTTGGGGCAGTTGGGTATGTCTTGTTGAACGAGAACGCGCCGGTGAACTCGAGGTCCCCAGACAGGATTGCCGCGAGGTCCTCCTAGACCGCGGATAAGTTGAGGTGAGGTTATTGGCGAAACGGTTTGACGAACCTTGATATCTTGAGATGGATCCTGAAGGTCTTCGTCCTCCTCCTCTTCGTCATTGTCATCGTCCTCCTCCTCTTCGTCATTGTCATCGTCCTCCTCCTCTTCGTCATTGTCATCGTCCTCCTCCTCTTCGTCATTGTCATCGTCCTCGTCTGTTTCCGAGTCCTCTGCGCCGTTGTCATCAGCCTCTAGGACTGTCGCTGAGCCGTCTTCTGAGGCGGCACTGGCCTGGTCAGTGGCATTTTGTTCAGGGGCGGCGTCGCTCAGGACTACGTCCTCGTTTGTGACATGTAAAACCTCGGCGCGGGGTCCAGCATCTGATTCCCCTTTGACCGGAACTGGCATGGCGCTCGGGTAAGCATCTACATGTCATGGTCAAACATGTACATGGTGAGGAGACGAGAGGTGCATGGAGCGAGCACACGCACCAGATGTTCCATTCTCTGGGCCGACAGTTTTGTCCGCCAAGTCTACCTCTGGCCCTTCTGTCTTTGCTGCCTGCCCGACGACAGACATACTGGGGGGTAGAGCGACTGTAAAGGAGGCATAAGAAGCGAATATCATGTGCGCACGGTAGACTGACCATCATCAAGAGTAGCGTCATTTGTGGCCTCTAGTTTCGGCAGAACGGCGCTCTGTGCTGAGGCTTTGTGCTCCTGAGCGTCGTCCGCGTCCTAGAGAAGACCCATAACTCGTTTGCGAGCAGCCCAGAACGCGTGCAGTCTGCTTACCATGTTGCCGACGTCTTGCGCGTCAATGCGCTCGGTGAAGGAAGAAGGTGGTGGTGGTGGTGGTGGGAGTAGGAGAGAGCGGTAGCTCGACGCGTCGAGGACCGACCGCGACGCCGACACGGCCAAGCCCGACGCGCCGTTAGCGCTGTCGCCAGGCACGTGATCGTGACGACATGGCTTCGCGTCGCGGGCGTCTGTATGCCTTCTGCGCAAGTGAGCAAGCGCCCGTAAGATTTGCCTTCTGCTCCGATGGCCGCACCTTTCTCCTTCGCCTTGCCCTCCGTGGTGCCACAAGACTTGCAGCTCATACAGGACATCATTGGCGTAGTGCCTGACCCCGTTCCCAGCAAAACTGCCGAGCCGCCCACAGCAGATTCCGACCATGAACACGGGACAGACAGCGATACAGACAGTGAAAAGGAGGTCGAGGCTGACATCCTCGGTGGGGTCGAGGACGAGGACACCGCGATGTTAGAAGTCAAAGCGTGAGTCGCCCATGTCTCAGTGTATTGTACTTACGTCTGAGACGTTGTAGTGCGCCTCCCTCAGAATCTACAAGCGATTCAGACTCGTCAAGCGAGTCCGACTCGGACTCCGAGAAGGAAGATGCACCCGAAACACGGAAAGTTGCGCCGAAACGAGTGGATGCAGACCTTGACGATGAGGACGAGGCGGGCCCTTCCGATGCCCAAGTCCGCACAAAAAACGAGACCGTGGAAGTTGACATCATGGTTCCCGAGATATCGGAAGTTGGCCCGCACGACGAGCTGGAGAAGGTGGGCGAGGTCCTGAGCATAGTCGACAAGGTTGTCATCATCAAGGGCCAACCGTCCGCCATCGCCAACAGAGGTTCCGAAAAGGCCCTCGACTGTGATACACTTTTAGTCTTCGAGGACAGGAAGGTCTTGGGTTACGTGCGTATCTCACTTTGCCCCTCTCGTCCTAATCTAACGTTGTCACAGATCTTTGAGACCTTTGGTCCGACTAGCGAGCCGCTCTACCAAATCAGGTTCAACCAGAAATTCCCCTTGGACACCGAGAAGGTTCAAGTTGGTCGAGTGGTATACCACGTCCCGGACAGGAGCAACTACGTCTTCGTTCGTCAACTCCAGCAATACAAGGGTAGCGATGCCAGTAATGTCCACGACGAAGAGCCCGGTGACGATGAAGTTGAGTTTTCGGATGACGAGCAGGAGGCCGCACACAAACGAGCGGCAGCGCACCGGTTAGTGCCTCCACCCAGTAACTACTTCCTCAATCAACATATTTTTCAGGCGCGAGCAGTCGCGGGGACGGTCAGTTACCTCTTCTCGACATACAACACCAGTACCATCCAGAATGCGGGATCAAGATATGGCCGACGACCCTTACGGCGGCAGCTCATACGAGCAACCTCTCTCGTACAACGATATGGACTTCGGCGCGGGCCCCTCCCGACCCGCGCCTATACCATACGACGATCCCTATGCGGAATCATACGGTGCCGCGCCACCACCCGCAACTACTCAGCCGCAGGATGCCCCTGTTTCCCCTCCTCCTAGTACGCCCTTCGAGGCCGGTCGCCCGGAACGGGGTATGGGGCGTGGACGGGGACGAGGTGGCGGCACCCGGGGCGGCGTTCAAAGGCGCGAGGAACCCGGTAGGGGACGCGGTCGCGATCGACGTCAGAATGACCGCGGACGTGGACGCGGTCGAGGCCGCGGCGGATCCTCCTCTGACGGGTGGCCCGCGAGACAGGGCCCCCCTCCGACCGAGCACGAACCCCGCGTTCCCCGACCTCTATCGCCGACGTCTCTCGCGATCGCCCGGGCGACCGGGCAGTACGCGGAGGGCCCTCCAGCCGAGTCGCCCGAGATGTACAACCAGATGCAGATGCAGCACGCAGGTGGCGGCGGCGGATGGGGCTTCCCGCAGCACCCTATGCAGAGCTACGACTTTGGGTTTGGGCACCAGTACCCACAGGTGCAGCCGCATATCAACCCACGCTTCGCATACAACTTCGGTATGCCGGGCATGGGGATGGGGATGGGGATGGGTATGAACATGGGTTACCCGTACGGCGGTCAGCCCGCCCCGTACAGCCACGACGCTGCGGGGTACAGTGTGGGCCCTCCCGCGGACGGTAGTGGATGGGGCGGCGGTGGTCAATGGAGCGCGCCTTCCGATCCTCCTCATGGTCAGGCCCAGGGCCAGGACGGTGGGGGCAAAAGCGCCTAAGAGCGCACATTGATTACTTGTATATGTCGTTTGCTTTGCAGGTTGTGTATCGCACTATGTATTGCTATCCGTATGTGATTCTACCGACACCTTGCTGCGATGTGGGCAGTAGCAGGCGTTCACCCCACGGCGGACGCTGACAACATTCATCTCGTGGACCACCGACGCGTAGCGCCCGGGATGATATGTCGCGGGCGTTGAGTCGTCGAAGCCAATAGCCCCAACTGTTCCCGAAAAGGCATGAACTCTTCGCGACCAGTACACGGTTCCAGCGCTAAGACAATGAAAACAACCGGGGTTTAATGGCCTCGGGCCCCGCCCCGCCCCGTCCCCCACCGCCTCTCCTGCTTCCTGCATATACCTCCTAGCCCTCGCACGCCATGGTCGGTGCTCGCGGCGGTGTCGCCAGTACTCGGGGGTCGCGCGCCGCCAGCAGACAGCAGCCAACAGTCTCCTCGTCATCCCCTGCGCCCCCTGCGCCCCCCGCGACGCCTCGGCAGCCACAACAGCCGCCTTCCGCGCAGGCCTCGAGCTCGAAAGAGGGTATGAAGACCAGACAAAAGCGCGTGCTGCCCACGCGCTCGCGCCGCGGAGGACCGGGGGTGGGGACGTGCGAGACGGACGTGATGATCCTGGACACCATGAAACGCAAAGGTGCGCCCCCCTCCCTCTCGCTGCCCCGCACTCTCCGTTGTACTTAGACGTGGTCGCACAGCGGAAAGCGAGCCGCTTATCCCCTCGACGACGAAGTTCCTGCTCACGACGAACGCGGCGCTGCTCCCGCCCGTGTCGGAGTCGTTCGAGGCGCAGCTGAACACGCACGCGTACGGCCGCTACTTCGACCGCCCAGAGGTGCAGCGGGCGTACAAGGCGCAGCAGCTCATCCAGACGCCTGAGTTCACGGAGCTGCCCCGGGATGCGCATGTGGGAGGCCGCTTTCGCCCGCGCGGCTCAGAAGACGTTCGTCCGCCATGCTACTTGTACTTGTTGCACGTACTCACCCCCGTCTGTCTAACACCATTTATATGTCCAATATATGTATCTTACCCGGCACATACACGCACTACCTCTTCGCGCACAATGCGGTCTGCGCGTGTAGGAGGCGATCGACACCTCGGACGCCGCGTACGAGAAACGACACCGCAAGTACGAGACGTTCGAGAAGCGCCAGCGGCTGCGCGAGAAGGAGAAGCTCAAGCACGAGCACTACAAGCTCAAGGAGCGCATCGACCAGCTGCGCGCGATGGACTCGTCCGCCTTCCTCGCCCTCCCCGCGGCCGACTTTTCCGACGGGCACGACGCCTCCCCTGGCCCGACCAGCCAACAAGAGGACGAGCCCCCGCCAGACACGGCGCACCTACATGGGGCAGCAGCGTATCATGAGGGTGAGCGGAGGCGGAAGGAGATGCTGGAGACGGCGCTGCAGCTGGAGCAGCGGTACCGGACGCTGTTGCCTCCGGACAGACGGTGGATGGAAAAGAAGCTGGGAAAGCCGAATAGCAAGGCAGAATCCGTGGAAGTCGTCGAGGACGAAGATGAGGACGAGCCTGAGCCTGAAGACGAAGAGGAGCCGGAGGAAGATGACGACGACGAAGCCGCGGCTGAGGACAAGAACGACGACGAGGACGATGAGGAGCCGGAGGTGCCCGAGGACGACGGCGAATCCGAGATCGACCCAGAGGAAATCGAGCGGGCACGCTCGAAGAAACTGAAGCTACGCATCAAGTTCCCGCCACGACTACTCGCGAGCAAGCAGGCCGCTGCGCGCGAGCCGAAGCCCCCACCCTCGCGCGGCGGGGGAAAGCAGATCACGCTTTCGCCGTTCTTCAAGTCCCAGGCGTCTGGCGGCAAGGGCGGCAAGGGCCTCGCACACTCGCCCCTCCGATCCGCGTCGTATACGGCGAGTGAGGCTAACTCCAAGCGTGGACGATATTCGGTCGATACGTCGGACAGCTTGCACCAGGCGCCATCTGCCAAGCGCCAGCGTGTCCACCCTTCAGCCTCGGCCAAGTCAAAGGCGAAAGGGTTCAAAGGGTCCAATGGTGTAGATAACAGCGAGTCTATATCATCCGCTGGTAGGCTATACTCTCGCCTTGCTTCTACTGCGGGCCCTCATGTCTCCTATGCAGGGCTTGCGGGGAAGAAGGAGCCGACTGCATGCGTGCTCATGGTCGCCGCGATCCGCCAGTCCAGCGCCCCTACTGCGCGGAAGACTCAACGACATGTCACAGCGTTCGGTGTGCGTGTGCCTCCCGATCTCGAGGAGGTGCGCGACTTCGAGATCCCCGACTGGGTGCTCGCGCCGCCCGGCGCGAGTGATGACGGGGACCGCCAGGGCTCCTACGAGCCGTCCCACACCTACACGCACGGAGGGCGTTCGGATGACGGCTATTCGCATTCCGTAGGAGGAGGTACGGACGACGGAACATAATCTTATTTCGCTTGTATAGCTGGCCACGCACGTCTCTGTCTTCGGGTTTCCGGTGTGTCACTTATTAGTTAGGCCTCTCGGTGAGCGTATGTATATCGTATGTATCACCTCTAATACCCCCACCCTACGACGATGGCGCGGGAGCCTCCGCGCCCTTCACCACCACGTTCGTCCCTGGGAACTTCCCGACAACGGCAAGCGCGTTCTCGCGCGCCTGCAGCTTGACGTCCCTCCTTTTCGACAACACGAAGCCTCCCAGCTCCAGCGGAGTGAGCTCCCGCACGTCGGTAGACAGCAGCGTCTTGGGGACGTAACGGGAATAGTCGCCCGCAGTGCGCTCGAGGAAGGTCTGGACCCGGTCCTGAGAGGGAGACAGCTGTTTTGCGCCGTCTGCGAGCTTGACGCTGCCAGGGGCACGGGTGCGAGCGGCGGAGGTGCCAAAGAGCTCGTCTAGGTTGCCGAACTCGATCTTGCGCGGGGCAGGGATGTTGAAGGGCTGATGATCCTCCTCGCCTTCGTCCCTGGGTCGGCGCGGCCGCCTCTGCTCGCGCTGGGGCTGCTGCTGAGCGGGATCTCGGGACTGCGCGCCCTGCGTCTGGTCGGTTTGCCTCGGGGGGCGCTGACCGCCGCGCTGGCCGTCGAAGCCGCGTCCGGCGGCGTTGGCGCGGTTGCGGTTTTGGTTCCCGTTGCCATTGCCGTCCCGGTTGGAGTTGTTATTGTTGTTCTGGCGGGGCCGCTGTGGACGGTTGGGATCCCTGTTCCAGTTCCCGTTCCCGTTGCCGGACCCGTTTTGCCGCCTGTCGCGGCGTTGGCCTTCTTGTTCAGACCGGCTGGCTGTAGACCGCGGAAGAGTCAGACATTGTTAAGTGAGGTTGGTACAACGGCATACCGATGGTGATGTCCCCCAAGCTGTCTGCAATTGGAATAGCTCGTTTCTTCGGTGCAGCGTCTGCATCCGAGACTGGAGCAGCAGCAGCAGCAGCAGCAGCAGCAGTCGCTGAATCCGACGAGTTGAAGCGGGCTTGAGAGGGCAGCCGCTGAAGGGAGGGCGTCGTACGCCTGACCAGACACACCGCCGACGAGGAGGAGAGCCGTACAAACATGGCTGCAGAAGACGAGAGGGTCCGCGCTGGGCAGGACAGAGGACAGAAATATGGAAAGCGCCCGTGGACGGATGTGGACGCGGACGCGCCACGGTGGCTGCAGCCGCCGCCGGCTGAGGCGCGTCGGTAGTGTTGTTGGCAAATCCTCGCCACCTCGCCAAGTGGCACGTGCCACCCCTGGCAAATGGGTGGCAAATGGCGAGGATTTCCGGGGGCCCTGGCAAATGCTGGCGAGTCGCCGGGCGCTTATTGGGTCCTAGATGAGGGGAGCGCTGCGAACCGTTGATATGTGGGTGCTCAGCGGCATGGGGTCGGCGCGAAAACCTCTAAGGATGATGCTGTAACGTCGCAGCTGGTTGTGAAGAAAATAATGGACGCGGGGTGTACCACTGCGCCTTTGAGCGCCTATTTCGGCGCTCATCCCTCGAGGTCCGCGAAGGTCCCACAGCGATTCTTACATGTTCAGCTCGTATATTCGAGTTGTTTGAGCTAGATCCCGCCTTTCTATATGCGGGAAGCACATCGTAAGCCCAAAAACCGCTGTTGGAACGCGGAAGTACCGTGTTTTGAGCATTTGCCACCTCTCGCCACATTTGCCACCCACTCGCCAGGGCCCCGAGGAGCCTGCCATTTGCCACTCGCCGGCGAGCGCTTCGCCGAGCATTTGCCCCCAACGCTACGCGTCGGCCGGGCGCGCAGCTCTTACACATCCTCCTCTCTCCCACTCATCTTGGTCTCTCCTGGGTCCTGTCTGGCATGGGTCGGCTTACTGGCCGCTTGTTTGTATTCTTCACGACGTGTCTCATTGCATTCATTGCTTATTCGTCCCAAATATTCATCATCTGGCCTTGGTATGGCAATGAGCTCTCCGTGGAACTCCTCGAGCTATTAGTGCCATTCAAGTACGCAGTACGCAACTTCTAACTATTGCAGCCTCTAACCCGAATCCTGTAGTGTTCTTGTGGGTCTACTGTTCTGGAACTATGCACTCTGCGTCAGAACCGACCCGGGAGGCGTGCCGCCAAACTGGGTACGCTCGTGGACTGCGTCGCTTTCACAATGTCTTGAGGACTTAATGATGTTTCAGCGGCCCGACGTAAATGATACGGATGGCTATGAAGTCAAGAAATTAACGAGGGGACCACGATATTGTCGCACATGCGAAAGCTATAAGCCTCCTCGCGCGCACCATTGCAGGCAGTGCAAACGGTACGTGCGCTCCCCAATAGACCTTGTTCAGCCTTCATTGATCCCCCTATGATCTAGGTGTGTGCTGCGTATGGGTGGGTCTTCTTTTGGTATTGCCACGCTACATCACCCTGAACATAGTCTTTGTTAGACCACCACTGCCCGTGGGTGAACAACTGCGTCGGCCACTACAACTACGGCCATTTCGTTCGCTTCCTATTTTATGTGGACCTTGCATGCACATATCACCTTACTATGGTGACTCGACGTGTGCTGAGTAATATCACCTACTGGGTAGCTTTCCGCGTCCAAATCAGAATGCACCACTCGCTTATACGACCTCACAGGATGACCCTAAAGGCCAAGAGCTCATATTCCTTATTCTTAACTTTGCCACCTGCATCCCGGTACTGCTTGCTGTTGGCATATTCAGGTATGTTCGTCAGTCTCTTATAGACGATCTCTACTTACCTGCGCAAATATGTAGCTTGTACCATTTCTACTCTTTGCTTGGCAACAGCACCACGATAGAGGGTTGGGAAAAGGACAAGGTCGCGACGCTCGTTCGCCGCGGTCGTATACGCGAGGTGAGCACAAGTGCACGCCTTTGATCCGTATCTTACTTACCATTGAGCGTAGATCAAGTTCCCCTACGTGAGTGCCGTACTCCGTCCCAGGCATCCCTGCAACTGACAAGCCCAAAGAACCTTGGTATGAAACGAAATATTTCGGCCGTCCTGGGGCCCAGCCCTCTCTTCTGGTGCTGCCCTTCGCTGCCCGAAGGGAACGGGCTGAAGTATCCGCTCGCCAACGGTGACGGTGAGTGGGTGGAACTTGCGCGAAGGGATATGTACTCCCGAGAAGGGGAGGACATCCACGACATGGCGCGCGGCGGGTACGCGTATGAGCCATGATCTAGTCATGGCAAGGCCCTCGCAGGTGTGCAGGCTCCGCATATACCCCTCATGAAGTAAGCGCTCATCGGTTGATTCTTCAGCTGTCTTCCCCTTCTTCGCCGTATTCGCCCTCGATGAGACGTGTGCTGAACCCTTGCTCCTCCAGAAGCCGCCGGGGAGGAATGGCCACCCAGAGACCCCCAGGCGTACGTACGTCCCGAGGTCGATCCCAATTACAAGTTCCAGCTTCCGGACTCTCCTTGGACGTACGAGAACGGTACGCTCAACCCTGGCCTGCAACCCTCCACCACGCGCCGGCGGAGGTCTGCCCCTGCACACTCCTCTGTGCCTCCTTACCACCCCGACTACGACGGGGGTGCGGGTGAATCATACCCCGTGTCCGAATCCGAAGACGAGTACGAGGAGGACACTGTGGGCCAACCTCGTGAGTTCGTCCGGCGCGGCTCGGAGGGGTACGAGGTGAAACCCATCGATCGGGAGGGGATGCTGCGAACCTACATTGAGGACCGCACGGCGGAGCCCGGACGGTACCACCTGTATGTGCCCGACCCGCCGAGCGATCCCGACAGCGGCACGGAGGCTGAGGACGAGAAGATTCCGCTCAGCGAGAAGCTCGAGATGTGGCGGACGGAGGTCGCATAGTGGTCGTCGGGGATGTTCGACTGGATGGACTGATGTTGTACGCGAAGTCGCAAACAGGACTCGGACTAGAACTGCTGCTTACCCTCACTCGAACGTTCACACCCCCTCGTTACACTACTGATATCGTAGAGCTCGATTAATCATTCGCCGCACAAGGGTTATACCCTCATCACCACCGCTGTATGCAGCGCCGCCCCGCCGGAGTATGTAGGTAAACGTAAGTGCCACTGGCAGGAGCCAAAGTCGAGGCGCATGCGTATCACCGCCGATTCGGAGGTATGTACTCGCCTGACGAGATATTAATATTGTTCGACAATATTGTCATCTACCATCCGTTCACTCAGCGTTCATCCTGTCCTAAACGAGATGTCGATGAGTAAAAGGCCCTCTCATTTCGAAGAGAGCGATGATGGGCTCGCCGTGGTCATCGTCCGAGACGACGAGCTCGGCGGTAAACGCGTCTTGCAGATGCGGACCCTGCACACACACTGACGCCATGGCCACGTGGATTATTCAACCAGTCGCGTCGCGCGCGTTGTCGCTGAGGCGTCTCCTCATCTTGGACCTCCTCCATCACCAGCACGGCCATAGACACAGCATTCCGGTACGGTGATTCTGGGCGCATCTCTCCATGCTGGTTTCCTTGTCGCATCTTGAGCTTGCTGCAAGGCTGTTGCTTCCAGACGGCTGTGGCTGATGACATCCGACAAACCAAGTTGATGAAAAAACAATTTGAAGAACAGCATACGAATCTATGTAGTACGTCGCCGCTAGAATTTGTGTGCACCTCGCGTACCGGAAGATCAATTACAGGTAATGGAAGGTCTGTGCAGAAACCTTGACGCCCTTGTGATATCATGCTACATATGCAAATTACAGCGTCTCATTTGTCGTTTCGAATACCGTCACGATGCGTTTGTTTCGGTGGAGGTGCAAGAGGCTCCGCTTGTTTCGTGCGCGTTATGCGAACCCGCTTTAGAGTGAGGTCAACCACCCTCGTAACAATGTGGCCTCGGTGCAGGCGGCGGCCGGCTCCTTGCTTCCTTGTACACAACCTTGAAGCTCACGTCGGGATTCAAGTACTGAGTAATAGCTTCTTACACAGGATCCTTGCCTTTCGCTCGACTTCGGAAACAGTTGATGTATGCCACCGGAATGAAGGTCTCCCAAAGATATGTACGGCAACCCGGACATCGCACCGTTGACTGCCGGTGTCTTTAGTCGGTAAAGGTGTCTCCCCTACCGGTGGATCACATACAGAACTGCCCGCATCCAGCAGCTTTTCGAATCCGCCGTCCGATAGGCACGCGCGCGGCGTCACTCTCGGAGCGTCACCCCGTCCTGTTGCTACTCCTCGAGGCCTCGGCGTCTCAACTTGCCTCCGCGACAGTGGGAGCGGCGCGCCCGCTTTGTCCGTGTGACCATGGAAGACAGGCATATATATACCACCTTTGATAGCAGAAGGTGTAGCAATCGCCTTATTTCCCCTCCCACCGTTTAACAGCCATGGAGGACCCCACCGTACTCTACGCATGTCTCGCGATAGCTGTAGCTACTTATGTTGTCAAGTGGTATAGAGATCCGGTATTTCACCTCTCATCTTCCAATGCTTAACACTCAGTCACTAACCTTCTTGTGCAGCTTCGATCCATTCCTACGGTTGGGGGCTCTGACCTTCCCATCCTCTCATACATCGGGGCGCTCAGGTGGACCCGCCGCGGAAGAGAGATACTGCAAGAAGGTTATGATGGGGTCAGTCTTGTTGACATGCGCAGTCCAGCGTGACGTGAGCTCACGATTTACAGTATCGCGGATCCACGTTCAAGATCGCGATGCTCGACCGGTGGATCGTCATCGCCAACGGCCCAAAGCTCGTCGACGAGGTGAGGAGGCGTCCGGACGAAGAGCTAAACTTCATGGACGGACTGGGAGCGGTACGTAGCCAGCTGTTCGATAATTTGCCCATCACGCCACTGACTATTTCAAACGTATACAGTTCGTACAGACCAAGTATACCCTTGGGGAAGCAATCCACAACGACCCGTACCATGTGGACATTATCCGTGAGAAGCTGACGCGAGGCCTCCCGGCAGTCCTCCCGGATGTCATCGAGGAACTCACGCTAGCCGTTCGCCAGTACATCCCGACGGACGGCGATGGTGAGCTAAACGACAGACGCCCATTTGTGTTCCAGTATTAACATGCTTCCGCCTCCTCGTAGAATGGGTCAGCGTGAACTGCTCCAAGGCAGCGCGAGACATCGTCGCTAGGGCAAGCAACCGCGTTTTCGTCGGGTTGCCCGCTTGTACGTACTGCTCTCCGTTGTTTGCGAAACCGAGCTGACGGCTGGGGGAACAGGCCGCAACCAGGGCTATCTCGACCTCGCCATTGACTTCACCCTGAGCGTTGTCAAAGACAGGGCGATCATCAATATGTTCCCGGAATTGCTGAAGCCGTGAGTGGCGTTTCAATTCCCAATATGTGTCCCTTATCTCCAACACAAACCCATTTAGTATCATCGGACGCGTGGTTGGAAATGCCACCAGGAACGTGCGCCGCGCGGTCCCATACGTAGCGCCGTTGGTGGAGGAACGTCGCCGCCTCATGGAGGAGTACGGTGAGGATTGGTCGGAGAAACCGGTATGTTCACGATATACAACCATGAGTCTGAGCCGCGCTGATAAACACGTATATTTCGCAGAACGACATGCTCCAGTGGATTATGGACGAGGCAGCCTCGCGGGACCCCTCCGTCAAAGCGATCGCCGAGCGCCTTCTCATGGTTAACTTTGCCGCGATCCACACGTCGTCGAACGTATGTACATTCATCAAACCTAACCTTGCATGCGCTGGGATTATTCAGTGCTGACTCCTCGTTTCCTAGACTATCACTCATGCTCTCTACCACCTCGCCGAGATGCCGGAGACCCTACAGCCGCTGCGGGAAGAGATCGAGCCGCTCGTCAAGGAAGAAGGCTGGACGAAGGCCGCCATGGGCAAGATGTGGCGGCTCGACAGCTTCCTGCGCGAGTCGCAGCGCTACAACGGCATCAACATCGGTACGTCGGCCCACCGCTGATCATACGGCTCATGCAATTCCTAAACCCCGCACAGTCTCCCTGACGCGCATGGCCGACAAGGACATAACGCTCAGCGACGGCACGTTCCTCCCGAAAGGAACGCTCGTCGCGGTCCCGGCGTACTCCACGCACCGCGACGACGCGGTGTACGCGGACGCGCTGGTCTTCGACCCGTTCCGCTTCTCCCGCATGCGCGCGCGCGAGGGCGAGGGCACGAAGCACCAGTTCGTCAACACCTCTGTGGAGTACGTGCCCTTCGGCCACGGGAAGCACGCCTGGTGAGTCATCCGTCACTTTTGAATTTTGGCGCGGGAAGGGCGGAGACTCATGTGAGGCGCGCTGTAGCCCCGGGCGGTTCTTCGCGGCCAACGAGCTGAAGGCGATGCTCGCGTACATCGTGCTCAACTACGACGTGAAGCTGCCCGGCGATGGCAAGCGCCCCCTAAACATGTACTGGGGCCCGACGGTCTTGCCTGCTCCGGCTGGGCAGGTGCTCTTCCGCAAGAGGCAGGTGTCGCTGTAGGGCGTGTCCTGAGGCTGGGTCCATGGTGGGCACATCCATCGTGAGTCCGCTCATGTCACGGACATGCTGGCCAGCATGGACCCTGGGTACAAGGAGGGGAACCATCGGTGTATGTGCATTGTGGTAATGACCGCGTATGATAACACATGTCCAGATGCCGTACTGAAGTAGCAATTCGAGTTGCCAACACAGCTTACGGCGTCAGCTTGGCGTCACCCCGCTCTTGATCTCGGCAGCATCAGCACCTGTTCGAGCGTATAATCGATGGGGAGCAAATGCGGCTTCCTTGCAGCCATCCAACGTGAACACAGACCACCCGGGCCCGGGGTGTTGAGGAACGAAACTATGGAAACACCGACGGCAGAGCAACGGAAGAGCCCGTCATTGTGGTAAAGCTTAGCAGTACTCCATGTTGTGCTCTGTCGCTCCGGATTCATGCACATCATCGATGCTGAGTAGAGAACACTGACTTCATTTCACAAATTTAGACAACGCACACTAAGGACCCTCGACTTCGCAGTTGCGTCGCACTATGGGGCGACGACGCAACTACTCGTCGAGAGCATCAAACTACCATTCCCAGAAACAACGGGCGCCGAATTTAACTTATAGAACCTCCTTCTACGTCAACTTCCCTGAGGCATGTCCCTTCAGGTTCGCTTCTCAAGTCCTCATTGCTGACGCTCTGATAGCACACACATTAGCTTCGGAGTCCCGTAACGTCATGCGCGTACCGACCCCATATATACCCCTCTGGTGCGGGCGATCTAGCAGCACGGCCTGTTCACCCAGAGCCATCTCGTCCGGCCCGTGTTTGTGACATGGAGGACCCATCCATCATCTACGCTTGCGTCGCGGTCGTGGCCGTGGCCTTCATCGTCAGGTGGTACATCGATCCGGTCAGTGTTCTGGTTATGCAGTCTTTCCGGATGTTATACGCTAACCATCCTCTGCTTATCTACTAGCTGCGGGCTATACCTACCGTCGGGGGCTCTGATCTACCCGTCCTATCGTATGGTGGGGCTTTCAGATGGGTCCATCACGGAAAGGAGATGCTACAGGATGGCTACGACAAGGTAAGCCCGGTAATTTTCTCAAATGATTCGTAACTTCATGCGGTCCCGTTCAGTATCGAGGCGCGACGTTCAAGGTAGCTATGCTTGACCGCTGGATGGTCATTGCCAGTGGCTCGAAGCTCGTGGAGGAAATGAGGAAGCGTCCGGAAGAAGAATTGGACAACATGGACGGGCTCGGGCAGGTGCGCATCGGCCGACTCTGGCTAAGTATTTAATGCTCACTCTATTGATACTTCTACAGTTTTTACAAACGAAGTACACGCTCGGAGAGGACGTCCATAACGACCCCTTCCATGTGGACATCATCCGGGACAAGCTCGCGCGTGGTCTTCCGGCAGTCCTCGCCGAAGTCATCGATGAGCTTACTGTGGCAACTCGGGAGCACATCCCTACGGAGGGAGACGGTGAGTATTCACAGTTGGAGTGACCTACGTGAGTGATTGATTTTTTGTTTACAGCGTGGTTGAGCGTTAATGCTTCGGAGAAAACACGAGACATTGTCGCTCGTGCGAGCAACCGTGTCTTCGTTGGACTGCCCTTATGTATGTCTTTCTTCAGCTCCCAAGGCCTCGTCCTCACGTCAACCCGATCAGGCCGCAACAAGGGCTATCTCGACCTTGCTGTCGACTTTGCTATCAGCGTCATGAAGGACAGGGCGGTGATCAATATTTTCCCGGAGGTGCTGAAGCCGTGAGTAACGAACGAATTACAGGCGTGGAGCACGTCCACGACGCACGTATTTGACACAAATCCTTCAGGATAGTCGGGCGTCTTGTCAGCAAGAGCACAACGAGCGTACGTCAGGTTGCGGTGTACTTGGCTCCTCTTATCAAGGAGCGCCAACGGCCAATGGCGGAACACGGCGATGACTGGTCGGAAAAGCCAGTAAGTGATGGTGTGTCGCGCATGACATGAACCCATCTGACGAATGGTGTTGTAGAATGACATGCTTCAGTGGATCATGGAGGCGGCTGCAACCCGGGACTCCTCCGTCAAGGCCATTGTCGAGCGTATGCTCGTTGTCAACTTTGTCGCTATACATACCTCGTCAAACGTGAGCCGTCCACCGCTTTCACTAACATTCGGTAATACATTCTTACTCCGCCCTGCAGAGTGTCACCCACGCACTCTACGATCTCGCCGAGCGTCCCGAGCTCCTGAAACCCCTTCGAGAGGAGATCGAACCTCTGGTCAAAGACGAGGGTTGGACGAAGAACTCCATGGCCAAGATGTGGAAGCTTGACAGCTTCCTGCGCGAGTCCCAGCGCCACAACGGTGTCAGCATCAGTATGTACTAATGGCTACTACTGGTTGTGGCCGCCGATGTCTAACGTGTGGCAACAGTCTCCCTCATGCGCGTAGCGCACAAGGACATCACGCTCAGTGACGGGACGTTCATTCCCAAGGGCACGCTGCTTTCAGTACCCGTCTACTCGATGCACCACGACGACTCCCTCTACGAGGATGCGGCCAGTTTCGACGCGTTCCGCTTCTCGCGCATGCGCGAGCACGCGGGCGAGGCTGCAAAGCACCAGTACGTCAACACGTCCGTCGACTACGCCTCCTTCGGTCATGGGAAACATGCCTGGTTAGTCTTTGTCTTTTTAGGAGAGACACGTATGGGAAGTGCATAGCTCACGCGTTGCTTAGCCCTGGTCGATTTTTCGCTGCGAACGAGCTGAAGGCGATGCTGGCTCAAATCGTGCTGAACTATGACCTGAAGCTTCCGGGAGACGGGAAGCGGCCTGAAAACATGTACTGGAGCGAAGGCGTTCTTGCTGCGCCTTCCGGAGAGGTGCTATTCAGGAAGAGGCAAGTTTAAGTGCACCGCTTTGACTCATCGTTTTGTACTATGTATATCATTTTTGAGCTCAACAATCGGCTACGGCCTTGGGAATATTGCTTAGCCTGTGTTACTGCTGTAAATGTGTGTCGTTGTATGCGCACTTCCCGTGCATAGTGCCGCTTAGTTTTGGCTGCGTACTTAGTAGTCAGGACCAATGTGGACCTCTCTCCTGTCAATCGCTAGACGCCCAACTTCCCATTTGACATCGGCGCTGTTGAACTTCTGTGTCTACGGCTGTGCCGGACCGGGAGTGGCAGTGATAGTGGCTGTGCGTCTACCATACGCCAGCATGGACTTTCCTACTTACCATATACGTACATTCTTTTGTTCTGTACTTACTTGGCATCCTGCCATCCCTCCACATGATTCTGGTACGTTCTACGATGTTCCGGACTATTCTAGACAGCGTCCGGATTACTCGCATTACTCAGCCATGGACTATCTGACCTTATGTCGATTATGCTCCCTTACTCAGCGTTACTCATCGCTCAGTCAGCGTCCTCTGGACGTCACATGCTCTCTTCTTATACGCTTACTCATCGTCCTCCCCAGTAGTATATAAGGAGGACTCTGCAGGCCTCTGCTCTTCAGTCGTTCTCTCACAGACTGAAGAGTAAGTCCCACACTACCTATGCTTCCTTACATGTTTACTTACTAGTACTTG